CTGGTAGCATAGTGCCTAAGGCACTTGACTGCTAACCAGAAGACTGGTGGTCAAACCCACCAGCCACTCCTTGGAAGGAAGATGGGGCAATCTACTTTCGTAGTGATACTGCCTCAGAAACCCAAGGAGGGGTTGCTATGAGTCGGGGCTGACTCAATGGCACATAACAACAATGCTCTTTAACACTTTATAAAGCTCTTTTGCAGCAGATTTGCCCAATGCAATATGTTGTCTGATTTCTTGACTGCTGCTTACATGGATGCTGACTGTTGATCCAGTGTAATAAAATCCCTGACAACTTCAATTTTTTCTCCATTTATCATGATGTTGCTTATTGGTCCAGTTGTGAGGGTTTTTGTTTTCTTTATGTTGAGGCATAATCCATACTGAAGACTGTCATCTTTGATCTTCATTAGCAAGTGCTTCATGTCATCTTCCCTTTCAGCAAGCAAAGTTGTAACATCTGCATATCACAGGTTGCTAATGAGTCTTCCTCCAGTCCTGATGTCATGTTCTTCTTCATATAGTCTAGCTTCCTGGATTATGTGCTCAGTATTCAGACTGAATAAGTATGGTGAAAGGATACAATCCTGACACATGACCTTTCTGTTTTTAATCCATGCAGTATATCCTTGTTCTGTTCAAACGAGTGCCTCTTAGTCTATATACAGGTTCCTTATGAGCACAATGAAGTGTTCTGGAATTCGCATTCTTCACAACATTATCCATAACTTATTATGATCTATACAGTCAAATGTCTTTTCACAGTCAATAAAACACAGGTAAACATCTTTCTGGTATTTTTTGCTTTCAACCAAGATCCATCCAACATCAGTAACGATGTCCCTTTGTTGCACATTGTCATCTGAATCCAGCTTAAATTTCTGGCAGTTCCCTGTCAATGTACTACTGCAATGTTTTTTTAATTATTTTCAGCCAAATTTTATTTGCATGTGATATCAATGATATTATTTGATTTCCACATTTTGTGGGATCACCTTTCTTCAGAATGGGCACAAATATAGATCTCTTCCAGTCAGTTGGCCAGATAGCTGTCTTCCAAATTTCAAGTCACATACTAGCTTGGGGTATCTGACATAATTTTAGGTAGCAAAGAGATAAACTTTAACACACAAATCACCAGGGGATTCTGTTAAAATGCAGAGTCAGACTAAGTCAGTCTGGCAGAATTTAAGATTGTATATTTCTAGAGGTATCCCAGGGGAGACTACAGATCCATGGACTCACTTTGAGTACTGACTACTGAGTACTGATACTCACAGTGCCAGCTTTTGTGAACCCTGCTGGCCTCCTATCCCCAGCCATAAAGGTTTATGCTCCTCTACCCTCACCCCCCACATAGATAGACATACACACACTCCACCTCCTCTTTTGCACTGTCAGGGTAGGGCCTGGGCTATAACAGTATGAGTGCAGGCCATTAAACTGGATGAGAGGCTGCTAGGTGTCCCCAGTGGCACACTAGTTAAGTGCTTAGCTGCTAACTTTAAGGTCTGAGGTTTGAACTCACCAGCCGTTTCATGGAAGAAAGATGTGGCAGACTGCTTCTGGAAAGATTACAGCCTTAGAAACCCTATGTGGCAGTTCTACTTTACCATATTGGATCACTACAAGTCAGAGTTGACTCAACAGCACACAATGACGACAATCCTCCGTTCCTCTTCTTCAGGTATAACTAGAGGCCTCCAGCTGTGCGACACTTTCATTCTTGGCCAAAGCCTCCCTACTCCATTCAACTGTCAGCTCTCTTTGAGAACAAGATCATGTCCAACTTAACAGTGCATCCCAGTACCAGAAAGCCCCTAGCATAAAAGAAGCACTTATCCAGTATTTGTTGAGTATCAGGAAAGGAGTTTGTGTGGTTTACCTCAATCATTGATGAGACTGGAGAAGTGATACATTATTATAGTTTTTAATGCTGTAAACATCTATTTATACAGTTCTAAATAATTCTATATTTGCCATACTCCTCAGATACATTTTATAAAATTAATGTCTTAAAACTTGCCACTTTCTAGATTTTCAGCTGTTTAAGTCCGTGTTGATTCCAGGCACAGTGTATAAGCACTTGGCTCCTAACCAAAAGGTAGGCGATTTGAATCGACCAGCCCCTCCGCAGGATAAAGATGTGGCAGTCTGCTTCTGTAAGGATTACAGCTTAGAAACCCTATGGAGCCATTGTACTCTATCGTATAGAGTCACTATGAGTTGAAACTGACTCAAAACAACAGGTTTGGTTTGGGGGTTTATAAGGAAATAGGGTGGGGTCGCCATGAGTTTACTCAAGGTCAACTGGCTTTTTTCATGTGCAAATAATAAATTCTTAAAAAGTAAAGGCAGCTTTGGAAAGCCATAGAACTGAAGACCTGGGGTGCCCTCTATTGGTTTCTATAATTTACAACCCAGCAAAACCTCATCACAGACGCTGCTTGGGGATATAGGAATGAAAGGGCTCCTGTTGAGAAGCTGATGTCACACTGGACTTTCTCATGTTGTTTTTCATATTCATCATGCCTCATTTCTTTAGCATCTGAGTCGTGAAGTGAAAATGCTTTCAAATTATTATATGCCTTCAGAACAGGATGGCAGAAGACTAAGAAAATGTTTAAAGAAAACTTTATGGAATTTCTGAAGCATCTCATGAAGTGTCTTTCCTTAGTGCTGCCTTGTTTATGTTGTTGTTTTTATGTACCATTGAGTTGGACCCGACTCATAGTGACCCCTTCTTGGGTTTCCAAGGTGGTTATCACTACAGAAGTAGATTGCCCAACCTTCCTTCCGAGGAGTGGCTGATGGGTTTGAACTGCCAACCTTCTGGTTAGCAGTCAAGTTTATAGGACCAAGATTCTAAATGATTTTCCCATAGTTTCCCAGGGTATCTACTCTATTTCCCATAGTCTAGGATGTACTGGGGCTACCTTTGGTCACTGGAAATTCAGTTTTAAAACACTGAACTTCATTAGCTGAAAGCAGAGAACATTGTTCTAGATTGTGTCGACCATGTACCCTTCAAATAAAAAAAAAGCACACACACAAACCCGTTGCCATGGAGTCAATTCAGACTCATAGCAACCCTGTAGGACAGAGCAGAACTGCCCCATAGGGTTTCCAAGGCTGTAAATCTTTACGGAAGCAGACTGACATGTCTTTCTTCTGCAGAGCGGCTAGTGGATTCAAAGCACTGGTTAGCAGCTGAGCACTTAACCACTGTGCCACCAAGTAATTATGGGCTGGTTATTAAAGTCCGTAACAGTGAATGAACAATAGACTATTTCAAGACATTTTCTAACATTACCTGGATTTGGCTGAAGATATTCTGTAGTTTTTGAAAGAATTTCTGCAACAGCTTTATTGGTAATATCTATTTTCTTAACAACAAAAGAAAACAAGAACATAAAAAATGTTAGTAAATGACAAATAAAAACAAATAGAACACTAAATTTCATTAATTTCATACTTACAAAACTATTATGATGGTTTTCATACAAATGAATGTTTTCAACATTTCTGGGAAAAGCAACATTTTTGGTAAATTTTGTGACATCATCTCCTCCCAATGATGTTGGTGAACCATAACTTTTTTTAACATTAAAATTAATATTAATATAATATTTAAAGAACTTGGAAAAGTTATTATGCTCCACTATATTACTGAATCTAATTGAAGGTCTCTCAAAACCAAGACGAGGTATTACTGAGCCAAACTTTCCGTACCTGCTAGGGGAACTTGAATTTATCTACTTATATAAGGATACCATAATAATGATCTGTGTTAGAAACTATGTAAATCCACAATTAAAAAATAAGTACCATTACTATTATAAAATAAAAGGTTCCTTTATGTGGGCTCAGAAGAAGTTAACATCAAGTTTTCCCTGACAAGTTAAGATTGAACCTTTCCTACTATAAAACCATTCCCAAACTTTTAGTTTATTGACCAGAGAATTAATTTCACCTTAATTCAATAAAGTTGAAAATGCAAATGCCAATATCTTTATTTTATACCATCAATAGCCTAAGAGAAAATGTAAACAGAAAGGAGATCTTATTCACAAGAGCAATAAAATTCATAGAAGAAGGCGTCCATATAACAAGAAATGCACAATACCTACCAGGGTAGGAAAACTGAGTTTTGGAAAGATGTAAGTCCTTGCCAAACTAATCTGTAAATTTAATTCAAAAAGCAACACAATTTCAATTTTTTCTTCTTTGTTAAAATTTAGCCAATTGGTAATAAAGCTAGATTCATATTTCACACTACCTACAGGATAAAAATATAGACCTAGAGGCAAATCATGACAGTACCTTATTATAGAGGAGAATATTGTCAACTAATGGTGTAGAGAGTAGCTTTCTAAGGATGACTTGATACACAAATGTTATCAAGAAGAAGATCAATAAATCTGACTCCATAAAATTGTTAAAAAATCAAAAAACTGAATTGTGAAAGACACAATAAAGTTTAACAGAAATGACAAACAGAAAGAAAAATTTCCAAAAGATAAAAAGTTAACATTCATAATACTGAGAACTCCCATAAATAAAAAAGAAAAAGATAACTCAAAAGGACAGAAGAAAAGAGCAGAAATTGGCAATCCAAAAAAGACAACAAACAATAACTTGCCTATAAATATTTTTTTAAATATTCAAAAGAACCATAAACTAAAAAGAGAATTCTCACTCAGCTGATTGATGTAAAATTTTTTAAATGATTATGGACAATATTAGGTTTTATAAGAGTTGTAGTAGCAGGTCCTTTCCCATATCATGGAAGTATAAAATGATACAACCTTTTGGAGATTGAGGTGAAAGTATTTATTTAATGAGTGCGTACATTTTGAACCAACCATGATATTTCCAGGAGCTCTGGTGGCACAGTGGTTAAGACATTCAGCTGCTAACCAAAACATTGGCAGTTCTAACCCACCAGCTGCTTCAACAGGAAAAAGATGAGGGAGCCTACTTCCATAAAGATTTACAGCCCTAGAAACCCCATTGAGCAGTTCTGCTCTGTTCTACAGGATCACTAGGAGTCGAAATCAACATGATGGCAAGTGGGTTTGGTTTTGGTTTTGGATTGATGATATTTCTAAGGATTTATCATATAGACTCACATAATATGTTCATTAAAGCATTTTATGTAGAATTAAAAATTGAAAACAGCTTAAATTACAGTAATTAGGAGATTGGATAAATTGTGAAACATCAAAATAAAGGAATACCCTTTTGACATGGGGGAAAAAAATAGGTAAATCTGTAAGTGCTGGGATGATGTCCACAATGCATTCATTGCTAAGGAAAAGAGCAAGCTTCAGAGTGCTTTATACAGAAAAATGTTATTTTCATAATTTTAATAAAAATATGATCTGAATTTCTTTGTCCAGTAGCCCAGGTCAAGACTAGGAATTTACAACCAACCACAAGAGACTGAAAATGTAATTGTACCCCTTAGCTAAATGCCTAAATTTAAGGCCCCAGAAAGGTTTAAAAAAGTCAGTATAGAAATGAAGACATGCCCAAATTTGTCAGTCAACAGAGGAATGGATAACAAACTGTGGTCTATCTCATGCAATGGAATATTATTTAATCATAAAGAAAATGAAATTCTGATACATGTTACATCATGGATGAACCTGGAAAAAATCATACTGACTGAAATAAGTCAGTTACTAAATGATAGATAGTGTATGATCCCTCTAATATGAAGTATCTAGAATTGGCAAATTCACAGGTGCAAAAGTTAATTAGTGGTTGCCAGGAACTGGTAGGAGGGGAAATAGGGAATTATTCCTTAAGGGGTACAGAGTTTCTGTTTAGGGTGATGAAAAGCATTTGGAAATGAATAGTGATAATGGTTGTAATGTCACTGAATTGTAGGCTTAAAAATGGTTGAGATGGCAAATATTTTGCTATATATATTTTACCACAATAAAAAAAAATGAAAGGAAGAAATGAATTAAACTTAGATGACTGATACATGTGTGTTAATGGTATGCGTGTATGTGTGTGTGCACGCACACATAATGCACGTGCATTTGGCCTAGTAGCAAGTATTTTAAACTTTGCTCTTTTGGGTATGTTCAGTTGTTTATGAAGATCTTTGAAATGTTTAAGAATGTTTGATCACCTAAATATCTATGCTTTATTGTTGTTGTTGTTGTTGTTATGTGCCATCAAGTCAAACCCGACTCATAGCGACCCCTCCTTGGGCTTCCGAGGCAGTATCACTACGGAAGTAGGATTGCCCAACCTTCCTTCCGAGGAGTGGCTGGTGGGTTTGAACCGCCAGCCGTCTGGTTAGCAGGCAAGTGTCTTAGCCACTATGCTTTATTAGCATTATAAAAATTTTAAGTGCTTAGGAAAATTGTGTTTAGATTTATATACCTGTCTCAATGGTTTTGGATGTGAAGTTTGAGAGAAACTGATACACTGAGTTCATAATTGCAGTCTGAAATGTCTGAGGGAATTTGTTTCATTATGTAAATGGTGTTAAACATTTAAGATTTTAATTTATTAAACTTATGAGTTAATGAAACCTAATGATGAAAATGATGTTATGATTATCATTTTTATACAGAAATTATTACATTTATAAATAAGATTCATAAGTTCAGCTTAAAGCTGAGGAAAAGCAAGGTTTGGGATTTATAAGTTTAACAAATTCAATACTAATTAAAACATAACTTGGAGGGCTTCCATATTTAAGATCCTCCTTAGGCATGAAAAATCACCAGGAAGCACTAAGAGGCATCGCTGAAGGATGAGCATGAGGACTTAGAGGAGGAGATACTTTAGAGCCTTCTGTACCATTGGAAAGGAGCTCTGTGGCATAGTGCCTAAGGCATTTGAATGCTAACCAGAAGGTTGGCAGTTCAAACCCACCAGCCATTTCGCAGAAGGAAGATTGGGCAATCTACTTCTGTAAAGATTTACCATCTTGGAAACACACAGGGGTCGCTATGAGTCAGAACTGACTCGATGGCAGTGAGTTTGGTTTTTCTGGTACCATTTGAAAAAAAAAGTTGGAACGGGTTATGCTTTCCTCAACAAATGAAAATTAATTTAAAAGGTGCTGTCTCTGTTATGTATGAAATAATGGCTAATGGTGGCTCTAAATGTTGCCATTGTTCAGTACTGACATGACGGATACCAAGAAATGAGTGGCCCAAAGACTCACAAGTGTCCAATAAGCCTTGACAGGTACACACTGGAGCTGCTACCAGGCTAACCCAGGCACTGAAACTGAAAATTAATATTTTATAAATTATAGCAGCTGTCCTCTAAACATGTTAGCAAATGTGGGTAGTCTACATGAAAGTTGAGAGCTCTGGTGGTGTTCTGGTTACCTAGGGATGCTCTGACAACAATATCCCACAAATGGGATGGCCTTAACAAACAGGAGTTTATTCTCTTACAGTTTGGAGGCTTTAAGTCCAAGTTCAAAGTGCAAGGCTCTAGGGGCTGGGTGGAAGCCCCTCAACCTTGGGGTCCAGCTCTGCCTCCTGCTCCCGGCCCACTGGAGCTAGAGGCATTTCTTGACTCAGACAGCCACTGGCTGCTGAGACTGACAAACCCAAGGTTGACAAGTAAAAAGTCACAGTCCCAAGGTTACCAAACCACACGGCAAGCCATTAATTCAAGTCCATTGTAAGTCCCAAGGTCAGCAGAGCGTGGCAGGCTGCCGAACAAAAACATGGCTACATGCAGGGTCCAAGCATGCCATAAGATAAAGACTATCCCCAAGGCTTCTCCTTATATAGAGGAAGCAGACTACATCACAAAGGCAGCTACACAGCCGCTTGTGGTAGATCCCAACACAGAGCTGACTACCAGTCTCATCATGGAGAATAACTACCACCAGCTGCCCAGCCACTCAACCAGGGCCAGCCAAATTGACATACAAATTTAACTATCACAGGTCATGTAGTGTCTAAGGCATTTGACTGCTACCCAGAAGTCTGGCAGTTCAAACCCACCAGCCACTCCTCGGAAGAAAGATTGGGCAATCTACTTTTGTAGTGATACCGCCTCAGAAACCCAAGGAGGGGTCGCTATGAGTCAGACCCAACTCAATGGCAGTGAATAAATAAATAAATAAATAAATAAATAATAAACAAAAACAACCAATAAAGTTCTAAAGCAAAAACAAAACCTTCCTCCTAGAATAAACGGGGATACTGTGATATGTGTTTGTGTATGTGGGTGTGTGTTCAGGTCACAAAACTAACTTGCTCTGTAAACTTTCACCCAAACCTCAATAAAATGTTCCAAAAAAATGTCATGTAAATAGCTCAGCAAACAATCAGGAAAAACAGGGGAAGGTAGAGAGATGAAAATAACTTTTTTTAAAAAAAATCAACCTAGTGTGAAGGCATTGCCTCTTTGGCAATGATTAAATCTGAAATGTATATCTAATGTTGGCACTCTGCCCATGAGGTGTCCTGAGGCCTGCGCTCTCATAGGAGAGCAAGCAGGCTTCCACCCTGTGTTAGAAAGATGCTAGCCCTCCTGGTTTCTGACAGCTATTTATTGGAAGAAGGAGGGGAAAAAGAAGAAAAGAAGGGTGAAGAGGAGAAAAATACAACTATAATTATATCCTCTTCCTTATGTAATTTATATATGTTTTCCCCCTTTCTCTCTTGGTCAGATTCAGTAGAGGTTTATAATTTTATGATTTTTTAAAAATAATAGCTCTTGAGTTCATTTATTGATTCTACCTTTTTGTTATTGTTTTCTATTTCATTAATCTTCCTCTTATCTGTATTGATTTCTTACTTCTACTTAGCATTACTTAATTTGCTTCTATTTTCCTAGCTTCTTGGCTTGAATGATTTATTTTCTCCCAATGTATATGATCTATTACATGCATTTAAGATTTCACCATATATCACGTTTTGATATGCAGAATTCTGTCATTCATGATTAATCTGTAACTTTACTTTCAATTTCCTTTTTAAACTACAAATCACTTTTACATGCTTTTAAATTTCCAAACACCCAGAATTGGATGCTGTACCTTCATTATGATCAGCGTCTGACCTCTATGATTTTACTCTTGGATATGTAATGAGTTTTTTTTTAATTTTTTTTCCTGTGGACTGGGAGGTCTAGTAGCATAGTACCTAAGGCATTTGATTGCTAACCAGAAGGCTGCCGGTTCAAACCCACCAGCCACTCCTCAGAAAGAAGGTTGGGCAATCTTCTTCCATAGAGATGCCACCTTGGAAACCCAAGGAGAGGTGCTATGAGTCACAATGGAGTTTGGTTTGTTTGGTTAAGTACATAACTGGTGATTGTAATTCTTCCAAGTATTTGAAAAGAATGCACATTCTGTATTTGGGGAATGCAGATGTCTATATCTATTTATAATCAAAGTTATTAATCATATTTATATAAATCCTCTATGAGTCTACCTAATATTTGTAAAGTTAATTATTCTTTTATGAGAGAGGTATGTATAAAATATTCTACTATGATGTTTTATCAGTTCTCCATGTATTTCTGATAGCTTTCACCTTACATATTCAGGTGCTACATTATGTGGTGCATAATGATTTATAACTGTTGAAATGCTCTAATAGGCTACATGACTGCATACTTTTATGATTTTTTTAAATTCCTTTTCTATTTAGTGCTTCTTTGCATCAAATTTTACTTGGTGCTACTATTGTTCCTCCACCTTTGTATGATTAGTGTTTGCCATGGAATATCTTCCTAGATCATTTTTTCATTTCAGTGTCATAAAAGTCCTTAAACCTTCTGAAGTACATATTACATATTTCTGTGATTTTCACTGCTATTTTATCAGTTAAAAAATGAATAAATAAACTCACTGCCGTCGAGTCAATTCAACTCATAGTGAACCCTCCTTGGGTTTCCGAGGCAGCATCTCTACAGAAGTACATTGCTCAATCTTCCTTCTGAGGAGTAGCTGGAACCTCCAGCCTTCTGGTTAGTAGTCAAATGCCTTAGGCACTATGCCACCAGAGCTCCTGCTTTATCAATAGATTTTATTTTTATATTTCTCCAGTTATTCACTGGGATCGAGAGAGAGAAGATGAACAAGATGGATTTCAGTCCATTAAGTGCAACTAAAACTCCTGAAATGTACTTTTAAACTTAACATTTTAATGGACTCCTTTTGTGAGTGTATGTTGTTGTTATGTGCTGTTGAGTCGGACCCGACTCATAGCGACCCCTCCTTGGGTTTCCGAGGCAGTATCACCACGGAAGTAGATTGCCCAAACTTCCTTCTGAGGAGTGGCTGGTGGGTTATCTTGAGACATCAAGAGATTTCAAAAACTAATATCAGGAATGTAAATGATGTTAAAATGTTTTCATGTTCTCCAATTTTCAGAAATTAACTTTTTTGAAAGACAAAGTAAGCTTTACCCCTTGAGGCATTAGCATTTCTAGAAATGTAATAGCTCTCATCCAGAAAACAGGGAGAACAGGCTGGTCAGGGCCAAGGTATCCTGGAGAGAGCACTCCTCAAGCCAAGGCTGGAGCTCACCTTCCATCCCCAGCATCTGCTGACATCTCTGTGCTGTCACAGAGCCTTAATGTTAAACCTGAGGGCACATGCTTTGCTTTATCTCCTATGAGTCAGATCCAACTCAACAGTAGTGAGTTTGTTGTTTTTTTTTTTTTTTTGGTTTGTCTCATCTGAGGAGCCTAATTATTAAAGCAAGGCTAAGTTCAAAGGGTCCAAGATAAAGGGAAAGGGAACTGAGGAAGGTGGTAAATACTGATGGTGTCAGTTGCACCTCTGCCTAAGCTAACCTACACAACTAACCAGGAAAGATTCTTTGGAGCATGTTACAATCACTCTATATCAGGTCCCTCATATTTTTCTAAATGCTTGCAAGCCATTCATTTTTCGCCTAACTCTCATGACATTCAGGTAAGGCAAGTAGGGCACATATCATTATCCTTGTGTTACAATTCAGAAAAGATGAAAGAGCTTGTCCAATTTCAGACTGCTTGTTTTAGCAGCAAAACCAGGATAAAAGTTATTTGTCATGCAGTCTTGAAACACATGGGGAACAGACTCATAATATTTCAGAAAGTGAGTCAACCTTTAAAAGTGTAAGGGGTTTTGTACCAGAAATATATCTTGGTTCTCCAAAACATATAACCACCATTACTTTAGCCTTTTTCCTTGCAGAAACTAAGACTGCCCATCTTTTGAGCACTTCAACTTCTTTCCACTAGAGGGAACCAGGGTCCAAGTTAGCCACTTCCCATGCTCAGGAATATGCCTAGACTGGACACGGAAGGACATCAAGGGTCTTATTTCTGCTTGGAATTTTGAAAGAATTACTTTCTGAATTCCACATTCATGCTTGTGTTTAAACATCCTAGACTGCCATTCTAAACAGTATCAGCATAGCTCTTTGCATAATGAAAGTAAATTTGTAATAAAACTTATATATTAAAATGCTCTTACCTTTTCCATTTCAAGAAATTCATCATCTAGCTTCGTTCCTTCAACACCACTTATTTTTTCACTAAAGAGCTGCAGAAACAAAGCAAGCAATTTCAGTGTACAATTATTCCTTTCACAGTTTTTGACTGAAATTATTTAAAAAAAAAAGATTTAATTAGTTAGATTTTTTTTTTTTTTTGGACTAAATCATTTAAGAAAAGATCATTATTGTAAGGAGTAAGTGTATTTAAGGACAGGGGAAAACATACATTGGTCACTCATTCAACAGGTATTTATTATGAACCTATTATGTGTAAGGCTTGTTGTAGGTGCTCTACTAGTAACAAAGAAAAATAAGATAGGATCCTTGTCATCCAGGAGCATACAATTCAGCAAAAGAGTTAATAACTATACATTCTACTAAAATACAAGAGAGGAACAATAAAATAAAATGAAAATAGTAGTACTGAATACTATTATAATTACTGTAAATACTACAATTAGTATACTAAACTCCAGTGATGCATAAGAAGGATTCTGAGAGCTCATAGCATGGGGGTGGAGATAGGGATCATCTAGGATTTGTTTCCTAGAAGACACAGTATTTGAGGTAGCTTTTTCAAAAACAGGGGACAATTCAATAGACAGTACTGAAGGCAAGACTTTCCAAGATGAAGCAGTATGAAACAAAGACCCAGACGCAGGAATGTGCAGGGCAGAGGATCTCTACCTCATACTATTAACATCTGGACTATTAATCTTTGCTGTGAGGAGCTTTCTTGTGCATTTCAGGATGTTGAACAGCATCTCTGGCCTCTATCCATTAGATGTCAATAGCACCGCCACCATCTCCAGTTGTGAGAACCAAAAATGTCTTCAGACATTGCCAAGTACCTCCTAGGGGACAAAACTGTTTCTGGTTGAGAACCACTGGTGTAGGGCAAATGTACTCATGAAACAGCAAAGAATTTGGTTTAACTGTAATGAATAGTGCGCAAGGGGAACAAAGGAAAGTTAAATCTGAAAGATAAGTAGGGGCCAGATCACACATATCCTTGAATGCAAAGCTAAAGAGTATGATTGAGAAGTTCCTAAAGATTCTTCATGGAACATGATGCAGTCGGAAACCTTTTAGAAAAGCAATTCTGTCAATAAGCATGTATTGGATTACAGAACAAGAAGGATGGATTAGAAAAAGAAAATCCATTAAATCACTTTCTTTAGGAAAGTACATCAATATAATTTGTTTATAGCTTTAAAATACGTATATGAACATAAAAATCAGTAGTAAAGTGGGTATCATCAATTAACGATAAAAGAGTTGTAGTCTGTTTAAATTCAAATGTGGATTTCTGTTACTACATGAGTCACATATTGCACTTAAATGTAGTACCATCAATAAGAGATATTACTTTGTGGAGAGTAGATATGGAAGATTACAAAAATAGCCTCAGTTCTCCATCTTTCCTGTATCAATCCCTTTGCAGTTCCACACATCAGAAGTTGGAATCTACCTTTCCACACCTTAAGACTGGACTGGTTTTGAGAATTTTGGGCCACAACAAGATGGTAGAAGTGCCTCCGTATCAGTCCTGAACATTGATACTTGTACTCACTCCCTTGGAACCCTGATGCAATCACATGAACAAGCTCAGACTAACCTGTTGGATGATAAGAGATATGTGGCCAGCAAACCCCCAAAATCAGAGCCAACTAGACAACCTGCAGTTGACCAAATGCATAAGAGAACCTAGGTTTAAAAAAAAAAAAAAAAAAAAAACCTCCCAGCTGAGGCCATCCTACTTAAATAATCTACAGAAATATGAGATATTCCTAAGTGATTGAGCATTTCAGGAGGTCCCGGACAGAGAGAAAAATGGTAGATTCCAAGAACGGTCACAATTTGCTACCCATCCCTGTATCTATGTCCAACTCTGACTTTGTAGTTTCTCCTATCAAGAGTTGGAGTCTATATCCTGACCCCATGGATTTGGACTGGGCTTATGACGTGTTTTGACCAATAGAAACAGGCCTAGGTCATAAGAAATCTTGTGTGCTTCTAATCACTCTCTTTAAACCCTGCTAGCACCAGGTTAGCATAGTGCCTAAGGCATTTGACTGCTAACCAGAAGGCTGGTGGTTCAAACCCACCAGCCACTCCTCAGAAGGAAGATGAGGCAATCTACTTCTGTAGTGATACTGCCTCGGAAACCCAAGGAGGGGTCGCTATGAGTAGAGGCCGACTCGACAGCACATAACAACAACAACAACAACAACAACAGCACCATGTTAACAAACCCAGTCTAGCTTATTGGATCGTGAGGACAAGTGGCAGAGACACCATCATCACAACAACCAGCCTATCCCAGAACCAAAGCCACTTAACTGACCTGCAGCTGACGGCAGACACATGAGAGAGCCCAGCTGAGATCAGCCTAATTTTGAGTCAAATAAACATTAGCCAAGTAAATGGCTGTTGCTTCAAAACACTAAACTTTGGGGTGTTTTTTTGTTTTTGTTTTTACTGAATAGAAGTAAAAAAATACAGTAAACAACTATAGTTCTTATTTTTCTGGCTTGATGCTGTTGTCAAAGTCAGAGAGGATAACGCCTTCATATAAGGCATAACCTTCAAAGGAACAATCAAGAATCCCATTGCCCCACACCATGTAGTGTTTTAGACAGGTGTATCCATCAATCAAGCCGTCTGTCATGGATTGAATAAACCAAAAACCAAACACACTGCCAGTGAGTCAATTCTGACTCATAGTGACCCCTCCTTGGGTTTCTGAAGCAGTATCTCTACAGAAGTAGATTGCCCAGTCTTCCTTCCAAGGAGTGGCTGGTGGGTTTGAACTATCAGCCTTCTGGTTAACAGTCAAATACCTTAGACACTACACCACCAGAGCTCCCTATGGATGAATAGTGGCCCAAAAAAATATGTGTCAACTTGGCTGAGCCATGATTCCTAGTGGTTTGGCAGTTATGTAAAGATGTAATCATCCCCTATGATGTGATCAGTCAATCAATTGATTAGGGTGGGATGCAACACCCTTACTCAGGCCACAGTCCTGATCCTATTGATGTAAGGGGAGCTTCCTTGCGGTGTGGCCTGCAGCACCTTTAATCTTACAAGAGATACAAGGAGAGAAAAGTGAGCAGAGAGAGAGGGACCTCATTACCACCAAGGAAGAAAATCCGGGAGTGGAGTGTGTTTTTTGGACCCAAGGTCCCTGTACTGTGAAGCTCCTAGATCCAGGGGAAGATCAGGAAACAAGGAGATTGGCAAGGAATGCTGGGTCCAGAGATGATAAAAGGAAAAAGAACCTTCCCCCAGAGCTGACAGATCACGAATGCCTTTCCCCTACAACTGATGCCCTGCATTTGGACTTCTGGAACTTAGACAGCTTCTTAAACTACGATTGAGAAGTTCCTAAAGGAAATTATTTATTCCTAAAGGAATAAATTCCTGTTTGTTAAAAACATCCACTTGTGGTATTTTGTTATAGTAGTACTAGATAAGTAAGACACCCTCCAAACATTTTCTTGTTGTTATTCAGTAGCAAAATCATTTAAAATATTGGTTATTTCGGGGCAACATTATGACACACTAATGAAAGTTATAAAGCCACTCTCCAAAAAAGAGCTCCACATTTTGTTGCTTTGGTAGAATGCAAAAATGGACACAATGCTTTGCAGTTCCTGTCATCAAGAAGTGGTGCCTACAGCCAGCCACCCAGAGGGACAGAGTCGTTGAATCTGTGGGCTTGGGACCATAGTCATAGGGGACATCAAGCTCAATTGGCATAACATACTACACAAAACATTGTTCCACCTCCTACCTTGGCAAGTAGCAGCTGGGATCTTAAAAGCTTGCAAGCAGCCATCTAGATGCAACAATGGGTTTCTCCTCATCCAGAGCAAAGAAGAATGAAGAAAACCAAAAATTCATGGAAACAATTAGTCCTAGTGACTGGTACACCATCCGATCTGCAGCCTATGAGACTAGAAGAACTAGATGATGCCTGGCTCCTACTGTCAACCACTGGGAGGGGGATCTATGCAGGAGATCCTGGATAGAGAGGGAGAACAATGTGGAACAAAATTCAAAATCATTTGGAGAAAAAAAAAAGGGGGGGGGGACCAGGTTTGCTGGCTGATAGAACCTAGTGGAACCACTGAGACTATGGCCCCTAGCTGCCCTTCAGGTCTGGAATTGAACCCACATCTGCGGCTTCCAGCCAAACAAAGACAGGCATATGAGAACATTTACCTGAAGTAGATACACTCTTTGAAAAGAACAATCATGGGAGAAAGAAGGGCTTTTTATGAACAAGGAAACAGCTCAGGGGGCAAGAGTACATGGAGGAATGGTACAGGGAAGAGGTAACTATTGGGAAGAAGTGGGAGGGGAGCTGTTGCATCGTGGTAAATTGTAGTCAATGTCATGAGACAAAGGGTATGTGAACTGCTGTATGGAAAATGAATTTGCTCTGTAAATTTTTACCCAAATCACAATTAAAAAAAAAAGAAGAAAAAGAAGTGGTGCCTAAACATTACTGATCATCTTAAGCAAAGATTCCATAGAAGAGTTAATCCTGACCAAAAAGAGAAAGAATGTGGAACAGATTCTCAAATGGGAGCCAGACTTTCTGGAGCCACCTAGGTTTGATGAATCTCCCAAACTATTGCCTGAGATAATCTGTAAACCTTAAATCTTAAACCAAAATTATCCCCTGAATTCTTCTTTGAACCATAAAATAGTTTATCTTAGTAAATATGTCTACCTTGAGCATCGTGCTCTTTAAAAGAATTGTGCATGATCAAATTGACAACAGCAATTCAAAAGGTTAGATGAGCAGCTTAGGAGATACTGAGTCTAAATCAATGGTGGTAGAACAATTCAGCAATTAATAGTGAGAATGTTTGCACAACTTGAAGAATGTAATCAATATTACTGAGTTGTACATGTAGAAATTGTTGTAATGGGTGTTTCTACATGCATATATTTTCACCAAAATTTTAAAATTTTTAAATTAAAAAAAAAGGTGGAGCCTATTTCTCCACCCTGTGAATTGCTTTGACCAGTA